TCCCCACTCTCACTATTCTGGTAATTCTGCTGGTAATTGCGTGGAGGACCCCTACGACGTGGATAGCGTCTATAATGGTTACGGTCTGCTGCGTATTTACTGACTTGAAATGGAACTCCACCAGGGCCTGTAACATTTGCTGCCTCCGCACCCTACAAAAGCCATTATATATTGATAGTGACAAAGGAAAAGGAAATACTGTCAACGAACTTCACACAAAGCCAGGGAAACAACCCAAAGGACAAAACTAAAAATGTAGGGCAGGGGGTGGTGTCTGTGTAAGGTGCACAGCAATGACTACACATCAGCTCCTCACTGTTCTGAAGAGACTGCCCTCTAACTGCACCAGCACATTAGGCTTGATGTACCTGTGTTCATGTAGTCACCTGAACACATCCATCCACATTAGAGCCACCATCCTATCGGATGAGACCTCCAAAGTATTGCCATACCGAAGTCAAACCTTTACACAAAAAGCATCCTCACCTTTTCTCCTTCAACAACATCAAACTCCACAGTCTCTCCATCTCCTACACTGCGAAGGTACTTCCTGGGGTTATTCTTCTTTATGGCAGTCTAGTAATATCACATTCCAAAAATAGATTAACAGGGGAGAATAATGTTCTTTTTCATTCAAAATGTACCAGAGTCAATTATTATTTTAAGCTTGGATATATACTTATAATTTGCTTTACATAAGACCAAACTGTCAATAGATTCAGGAAAGCAAGGACCAATGCCATCCCCAACCTGAAACAAAATACTCAATCTTATAAGGCCCCAGCATTTTACCACTATTTACAAAACTAATTTAACACTGAAGACGACAATTTATATACATACACATTTAAATGCTTTTTTGTGAAAGCATTAGATATAGCTTGAAACAAAAATGAACTACCCATCTATCCCCCAAAGACTGCACTTAATAGTAGAAGCTAGCCCCACACGTGGCCAGTTTAGATGACAGGCGAGTTTAGTTTTACATGCTTCAAAGTTTAACAATCCAACTTTGTCCCTGTATTGCCATGTCTAACTCAATTACAAATGTCAACAAAAATCCCTTCCAACCTGTAATACCGTCCATGGAAATGCATTTCTCAGGTATTATTAACTATGCCACTCTTAAGATTATCTGACTGCATGGGATTGTTGGCTATTCCCACCCCAGAATACAATCTTGCATAGTAACACTTTAAAAAAGTGACTTGCTCAAGGTCATGCAGCTACTGAGTGGTAGAACAGGGTTCTCTAAATCTAGGTCTTGGGACTCCAAATCCCATGGACATTCCACATCACGGCAGTATCCATTACAGGATCACTCATGCATTTCCATTCCAGAGGCAGGACAACCAACAAGTCTGAGGCCAGTTAAGCTCTGTTGCCCAGAACTGCAGTCTGCTTGATACACCACTAAGACCCAAGCAGCCAAAGAAACAACTACATGTTGAAACCACTTCCAAAATGATAAAACCATTATTGGTGACACCTTGTGGGTCAATACAACTGAGTTGAGTCAAATAATTGATCTCAGCTGTCATCTAAACTGTCACATAGTTTTCATACCTTTCATATATAGCCAACTCTCAGTTACCTGCAGTCATAGGGGATAGCAGAATTATGGATAATTAAAACCCCCAAAACTATACAATCAACATCTCTAACCCCTCCCCCTCCAAGGCTGCCAAAAGATAGCAAGACTGATGATCAGCCTGTCTATTGTTCCTAGGTGCATACTCATCAACATGCAGAACATTGTTATTTTTATAAAAATACCAAATTTATGAAACACTTTAAAACATCTTTTGTGCAGTCCTCAAATTACAGTTTGAATTTAAATGTTTCCATACTTAAATATGACCCTTGCATTATTTGATAGGTTTTTTGGGGATGTACTAGAAATTAATCTGGTATCACCTGGAATGTCAGTGAATGCAATCCTTATCACTTCAGCAAGCTGCAAAGCACCAATCTATGACACTCTCCCCTAAGAAGCATGTTGTCATCTAAGCTCCTATCTGCCTGAATGAAACTGCAATGAAAGTGATTTTAGGTGTTTTGATTTCTGGATTACTATAAAAAGTTGGATAGAGTTCTTTAAAATTTCTAATACAATCTGATACTTCAACGGTCTTAGTGAAGAAAAAAAAAAGAAACCTGGCACAATACCATAATTCATATATGAAAATGTTATTTTCCTATTCATGTAGTATCTGTGATGAGTAAATCCAACGGTGCCTATAACACACCAAATTTTTATTTTGTGTGTGGCCAGCTCAGCCCACCAGGGGGCGGGGCTGGCTGGCATGTGGTGCTGGGGGATTGAACCGCGGTTCCTGTGCTCTGCTAAGCTTGCTCCAAGTAGGTGCTTTAGACCACTGAGCCATCTCACCAGCCCCAACACCAAATTTAAAATACTAGCCAGGAACAGTGGCACAGCCTGCATTCAAAAGGCTGAGGCAGGAGGGTGGTTGAGAATGAGACCAGGGACCAGGGAGACAGCTCAGTAGAGTAAGCGCTTGCCTGGCAAACACAAAGACCTGAGTTCAATCCCTGGTTCCACCAAAAACAAAAAGAGAATGAGACCAGCTTGGGCTATAGAGCAAGGCCGGCCTGAAGTGCACACAGCAAGACCCTGTCTCAAAAAGACCAATAATAATAATAATAATAATAATAATAATAATAATAATAGTTTACTTTGGCAATTATCTTAATTTCTCAGTTTCTGAACATTTTCTTAAATGATACTTGAGCAAAACAATGTCAGCCAATCTACAATTATGTAATAATGATAAGCCACCAATCTGGGTGCACTGCTTTTGTTCACTTAACTTGAAACTCTTTCAAGTATTTCAAGTTTTTCAAAGCTACTCAATTCTCCAAAGATGAAACAAAACAAAAAATCCACTAGGTGGACCTACACTGCTTTGGTAGTTTCCTACAATCTTCTTCAGTTTATTATGTTTCCTTCAACTATGCCCTGTTACTATTTGTCCTTTCCAAAAACATAAACAGCATCTGAAAAATTTGCCAATTTCTTTTATTTTTGGCAACATTATTTAGTAGTTGGTTTTTGGCTCATCTGGAATTAGGTATGAAAACTTAGCTCAATGAGTTGAGCAAACGCAACATTTAAAAAAAGATGGAGCAGCTATTAGCAGTCAAATCTGAAATGAATTAAGTAGGTTCTAGTACAATGTCTCAATGTACACATTTAAGAGGATTTTTCTTTAGGTATAACTACAAGTGGTTGAACATAACCTTTTGCAAGGGAAATAGAACATTTTTTTCTTCTCCTAAGCCTCGATTCACCAAGTGCAAGTGCAAGTACCCACATAAGCACTCACCTGGTGTACAAATACATCTTCCTTGGTGTCATTCCTGTAAAACAAATTAAGTAGAACAAATAAGAAAAATATACAGGAATTTCCTAACAGGAAAATCTGAACAAAATAAGCAAGCAAGATGCCATGCTGTTTTACAGACTAAGCAGTGGCAAACAGCTGTAATCTCACTAGCTGTGGAAGGATAAACAAAACAAGCCTAGGAAGTCCAAGTGCAGCTGGACATGACAATGCATGTCTACAATCCCAGGAATCTGGTAGGCAGAGGCAGGGCGATCAAGAGTTCAAGTCCCGCAAGTCTGATTTGACTTGGTAAGCTCCTGTCTCCAATCCCAGTATGGGGTAAGGGAAGGCTCTGAGATGACAGGTAACACACTCTGCTGCTCTTGTGTGTCCCCAACAGCAGTGCAAGGGGGAGTTAATTCCTCATTTCATCCTCTATTTTTTCTTCACCATTTCCAACTCTCAAATTCCCTTGAAGCTATAAAAATGACCACAGAAATAATCTTCTGGAACACACAGAAAAGAATAAACCCCAATACAGACTAGACCTCAGGTGACAAGTCAAAGCTGGTTTGTGAGTTATAATTAATGTACCTCTCTGGTTGGGTATGTTGATAGTGGGGTAAAGGATAAAGTTATGGGATCTGTTAACTTTCAGCTTAATTTCCTTATGAACCTAAACCACATAAAGAGAGAAAAGGGTAGGTAGGTGGTGGTGGGAAATCAAGTACAAACATGGATACCAGAACTATCCACACCTCTTACGTATTAAATGACAAACTGTTTCAATAACATATACTACTTTATCTTAAACAGACATCATTTTATAGCAATCGGTCACATCTGCCAAATATCACTGAGCTATTTAAGATTTGAAAATGTAGGCTGGGGAGATAGCTCAGTAGAATAAGCGCTTGCCTGGCAAGCACAAGGACCTGAGTTCAATCCCCGGTTCTGCCAAAAAATAAAAAAATAAAATGATAATGTCTCAGAAAAGGTCAAATACTGGTAAATGCAGCAAATTCAAAAAAAACTGAATTTACAGCTGGGTATTGTGTCCAGTGCTTATAATCCCAGCACTTAGTCCTCCCAGCTTAGGCAGGACTGCCAACTTGGGCTGCACAATGAGTTCAACACCAGCCTGTACTACAAAGTTAATACCCCATCTCAAAAAAACAAGCAAAGGGGGGCCAGGGACATA